TCAAAAATGTGTCCAAATATTTCCAGATGTCTCCTGGGGAGCAAAACTGCCTCCTGTTGAGAATCACAGCTCTAGAGCCTAGTGTATAGGTACCTCCTGAAATAATTACATTATCTGCCTATCTTTTTTATGTTTTTACATTGAGTTTAGCTAACAGATAGAAAAAATAATGTTTGGATTTCAACAACAAAGGCAGTAAAATTTTATGTGCATTTACAAGGATGACAGGAATGGATGGATAAGGATGACAAGAAGAATGAACTCAATATAAAAAGGGGTGCACCAATTCTGATTGAAGAGTTTCATGTGAATAGAAGTATGAAGGCCATGGATCACATGGTCCACACTCAGCATTCTACAATTCCCAATAATGACATAGAATTTTAAGTTTATCTCCTTCTTTTTCCTTCCTATAGATATAACTTTGATTTCGGGAGAAGTATGGCTGCTAAACCTACTCACGTCTGATAAGAAGTATGAGAAGTAATCAAGTGTAATCAAGTAAATCAAGTGTTGATATATCGCCGTTTTGGGTAATCCTTGCTTGAGTTTGTAATCTCATTCCAGCAGACTGCATAACTATACAGGAAAATAAAATAAATAAACATATACAAAAACCTAACAGTTCCTCACAAACTGATAAACTTTAACATCGATTAAAAAAAACCCAATTCTATTCATTCGAAGGGAATACTTTTGAGAGTCTTTTATAAAAATAGCTACTCAACCTGATTTCATGAGTAGCAAGAACAAGCCTCAGTGGCCAGTTATGTTCCTATATCTCTGCCCCATTTCTTCAGAAGACAGAAGGCCGAAGGCAAAATGGCCAAGATATCAGTGTGGTTTATTCCACTTTTCCTTCATCTTCCACTCAGCTTCTGATGATTGGTACTCACTGTGAGATCAGTTACAAAGGGCTGTGTTCATTGGCTTTTCATTTCGTAATGAAAAAAGCTAAAGCTACAGTGGAATACTTTTAAGGCTGGACCAGTGACCAAAATAGACACTTTTACTCTTTCTTGGGAGCACAATTTAATTCATGGAATAGAGTGACCCACCATCCTCGTTTGCCCAGGACTTTCCTGGTTTTACCACTGTAAGTCCCACATCCCAAGAAACCCCTCAGTACTGGGCAAACCAGGACAGTGGGTCACCCTATCTAAGTTCTGAGTGTTTGACAGAGTATTTATTGAAGTTAACTTCTAAAAAATGTTTTCCAAGAGTTGGAAAGATAAGATCAAGAATAGTCTCTAAATCTACCTTTTAAGAAAAAAAAAATCCTTTTAACAATCAAGTAGCACTTGGCATTTGGAATATACATCTAACTAGCCAGTATGACTTCCAGGTATTTGCTGCTGCATTTGTGAAGACGAGCATTTCCAAGGGCAAGAGAACAATCTGTCTCAGAGTGCTTCATTTAAGCAAGGACACGCTGCCAACTTGAAAGGAAATAAAGGCCACACTTTGTCTATGGGGGGATCCTGTAGTTATTCCCTTGCAAATTTAATTCAAACAGGTATTGAGATCTGAAACATGGAGATATCCACAAATTAGAGGATACTTGGTTTTTAAAAAGGAAAGAAAAGAAATCCAGGCCACAGCAAACTATCTCAAAGCAGCAATAGTGGTTCCTTTTCATGTAAATCACTGTATTGCTATGAACATGTTTTGAAAGTCTATACTGTGAATGAAATTTCTTGAGATCTTCTTTATAAGAAATATGCATATTATAAATTTTAAAACTTAAAAATTATTGTCTTCAAGCAAGACAATTTTATTTTTAAAGAATAGCATGCATGGGTAAAATGTGCAAGTCAATGCTATTTGAATACTTTGCTTTTACAATTATTAGTTATACAAATATGTCATTCAACTAGTGTATTAATTATTCTGTTAGAAAATGCAGTATTATTTGAATTTTACCGTTCACAAATATACCTCTTTAGAATTTTGCGATCTTAAAATAAAAGGATTTATTTAGAGAAATCTCAATTGGAAAATGGTATCTTATTTTTTCAAGCAATTTAAGGATCTGCCTGACTTATAAAACTGATGACAACCCTCTGAATATTTATTATATGTTCACTGTAGGATGTACTTATAGATTGTACTTGAGCCTATCCACTACATGGGAAAGATTTCTGTGACAAATCCTTTTATTTGACCTGTTATTAGGGTCCCAACCAACTTATAAACAATAATCCTCAAAGGAAGTGTCATTATATTTAAACAGGAACTGGATTCTGTAATGCAGTAGACACTTGTCACCACAGACCATGATAAAACTGGAAAATTAGTCTAGAGACTGTATCTGTCTTTTAATTACCAGATTCCAAGTAAGCTGATCTGTCACTATACTTGTTATGGTTCAACACATCCACTGGCAAAGGGTATGACCAAAGTGGATAGAAATATTTAAGTCCAAAACTTCAAGGGAATTCTGAGTCATGATTGAAATTCAAGTACTGTTTTTCAAATTCTTACGGCTATTGGCATCTGCTCATAGCTCAAAATATAGACATAAATCTTAGGAATCACCAAAATAAACTTTACCTTGTATGGTACTTTCCTCGTAGGACTCCATTTCAAACGTAAGGGCCTTAAAATAAAAGCCTTGAATTTCAGGTAGTATTGCAATTCCTTTTTAGTAATGTAACTGGAGAGTTCTTATATGTAGCTCACATCTTATTTTGGTTCTTACAGGGTAATCCTGCAAGATTTTGATATTAGTATATTCTGTGAAGTATTCAATGACAATATCACTGGTGCCCACCTCAAGACACATGTAAAGACCACATTTTGATTCTTATCTCTCTGGCCCCAGTTACACAGAATATCATAATCAGAAATGTCTCAGAGATTCTCAGTGTCATACCACCGGTTTCCATTAATTGCATGTACATTACATAAAATGTGGCCTATTGCCAATAGATGGATTAGAAAGCAATAAAAGCAAGAGTAGCTGAAGTTGAACACAAACACACACAACTGAAAACAGGGCAGCTTTAAAAACCAAATGTGTACCAAGATTGAAATATGATACCAGGGAAAGTGATCTGAAACCACCCAAGTGCTGAAGTGGTTTGTGGTTTAGGCAATTTTTTTCTTAATTGGCCACCAACTCTTCACTGTAGTCTCCTTTCCGAGTTAAATGCTGGACTTTAGGAATGATGTGACTACAGCAGAAGGCTTCAGGGCCTGGTGGAGACGAAAGGACTGGGACAGTAAACTCAGGCTGACAAGTGACCACCTCAAACTGAAAAATCTGGTCCAGCTATTTTGCATATGTTTGACACTGGCTGGCTTTGAGATTTAAAATATGACTTTCTGCTCTCACAAAGTTTAAGTGAAATTGGCATTTTTTTTTTTAAAGAGCATCAGAAAGCTTTCATACAATATATACATTTACTACAAAAGCTGAATCAAGCACACTGCGAGGGGAAAAAATGACTCCAATTGATAGCTGGTTTAAAAAAATAAAATAGGCAAACCAAACCATCTGAAAATAGAGTTCGTCATGGAAACAGCATGTTAATGGGACTATATTCCCAGTAGCTTTATGGTTTTCCAGGCAAGTCTTATTTTGCCATCAGTATTGAAAGACACAAAAGAATACACTGGTCTTCTATATGCTACATAATTTAAAATAAATTGTTTTCTCAAAACAAACCCTGGTGGTGACAAAAATGTCTTCTAAAGCTATTCAAATCCAGCATTATAAAACCTTTCTGCATCAAATTTATAGTTACTTCATTTTAAGGACACCCACAATAAGAATGCTTTATATTTATTCCTTGGATAGAGACTAATAACCTTTAAAAAAATTTTTCCAGAAATTATCTGATTAAATTACCTAGTGAGGAGACATTTTAATTTGGCCTAAGAATTCCTATTTTTGTGTCTATACAATAAAACTTCAGATATCTACTATATTAATGTAACAAAGAAAAAAGAACATAAAATTGCATCTTGCTTCTTAAAATTGAATGCTATATTTTCAATTAGATTTAATTTTTTCATTTGCCCTAAAATAAATAATGATGATGACTTATAAGACAATTGCCTTATAACCATGAAAGTAACTCTATCGTATCAATGGTCTTCATTTTAGCCTCTTGCCACAGAATGTTTTCATGAGAAAATTTAATAAAGATACTTTTAGTTTGTAAAGGAATAAAAGACTTGTTTTCCAAAGGTATTTGAGGTTTTCTATCTGGCATTTTCCATTTCTCATAACCTTATTTCCATATTGTGAAATGTATAAATAAACTCTGCATCTCTATTTTATACAAATTAGTGTGTGCACACTTCTGTGTATATGTATATATAGATATAATATAGATATATCTGTAAATACCTATATATACACTCTACATATATATAAATTCTGACTAAGAGTAGACCATCTAGATAATTCCTCTGGAGAAGGTTCCTGGGACAATATAAAAATGTGGTCTTCAGAAGCAAACAACAAAACAGCCTTATACACCCAACTGCTGTTTAAAATGCTTATAAACACACAGTCAGTTATCCATTTATTGATTGCCTAGTTATGGTTTTGGAATATCCAAGATTATAGAAAATATAAGACAATACCTCATAAAAATTGTGACGGAAGGGATGGCTGATGATTTAAAAATAAACCTCCATACTATAAAAAGTCATGTAAATTTACCCCTTGAAAGAAAAAAAGCTTTAATATTAAAATTAGAGTTCTATTTTTAATAATCCTTTTGAGTAAAGAAATAATTTGCAAACTTCTATTTTATATTGTTACTGTCATAAAAGCAGATCTTTTCTAGGGACTTCACAATGTCAATCACAACAACGCAAGTAGGACCATTCTTTGGAAGGACTGGTCTGAAGGTTTAAAGATAGGCTTTTTCATTGAATTCCTGAATTTATATACTGTGGGATTGGCTATGAGACTCCATAAAATGTAAAGATAGTTCATAGTTCAGACAGTTCCAGCTCTATTATTTTCAGGCACAAAACCCATATAATTTTGTACAAAACTTTGATTTTTTTATTTGCGAAATTAAAAATATGGTATTATATATATATAAACTTCTATTCCTCTATAAATATAGATGACTTTGTGATAGTGAACAGAATAAATGCATACCAAATTCAAAGACCATTGTCATTTAAGGGTATGACAGACATGGATAAATTTAAGTCCTAAGTACCGGCATTTTGATAAACTCTTAAAGTTTAAAACAATACAATCAGGAAGATTGCTTTTCTCATCTTTTTCACAGAGAACTAAAGTGAATATTTTTAAATGGCTTTGAAAGATTTACATTTGATACATTTCTGTAAATCCAAAAAGGAGCACACAGGATTTAATGCAATAGACCTGCACACATTTTTCCCTTTAGCATGCATGCCCATATTTTGTTTATTTCAGGAGCTAATCCCATCAATTATTTTAGCTCCTTTATCTCCTGGAATCTTACCAGGTTATTACTAGTGATGTGGATTGTTTCTCCCTCAGAACGTGTTGCTGAATAACAATCATAATAATATATTGAAAGTGTACAACTTTTACATTTTAAAGTTTCTGATAAATGTCTAATTATTATTTGATTAAAAATAAGAAAGTAGCACTTCATTTTGAGGAAGTCCATTACACTGAAATCTCCTTCAAGTTTTCATACTCAGTTTACGTTCTGTTGTCCTGTTAAGGAAAGCAAAGATCAACTCCCTAACAAAGCTTTCCAGGTGATCTCAACGTTTCCATTTTACAGAACGGTAAAATCTAAACGCGGCTGTCTCAGTCCAGAGGCAGGTTGCCAGGCATCAGTATGCAATTAGAACTAACATTTTATAACCCCCATCTTCAGTCTCTCCCAACCCACACAAAGCTTCATGGCGCTTCCCAAATCTCAGTAACCACATCTTTCCATGACGCCGGCCAAACCCATACCAGGTTTTAGACACTAGAGAATGAAATGAGCTCATCCACCAAAAATTAGACTTAAAAAAGTTTGGCATTAGTTATCCCGCTCACCCTCTAACCAACTTAGACGGAAGGAGGGAGTGTCTGGGCGTTGGAAGCCAGTGCGGAGGCAGGCTGGGACTGCCAGCGCCCACATCTGTGGGCCTCCTTGAAGCTAGGGGGAAGGTTCTGGATAGTGAAAAAATTCAGCTTCGGGAAATCAAAGGAACCAGCCTTCGCCATCTGGCCCCGACAAGGGCAGACTTGGGATGGGTGGGGGCCCACCTTCGGATTTGGAAGCTTTGGGGAGTTCAGTACCTAAAGAGCCGGGACCCCAAGCAAGGAAGGGAAGGGAGGGAGCAGAAAGAGGAGGCGGGAAGTGAGCCGGGCCGTACAGCCCCAGATGCACTCCACCCGCGGCAGGGAGGGGCGCGCGAGGACGAGCAGGAGCGCCCGGCGGTGCGCCGCTCCGGTTTTATCTCTGCAGTACTCCGAGAAGGGCAAGAAGAAAGAGCCTCAAATGGTTAAACCGCCCTAAATAATTAAATTTTAAACAAAAAAGAAACAAAGAGGAAAGTAAGAGAAAAACGCGTGATCGGCCGTCATTTAAATACAAATATACTTACAAAAATCTTACACAGGCTATTTACAATCACAAAAGCGTACAGTCCTGGTACCAGAGTGTGAGCGCAGAGAGGTCTGTCCAGTCCCCCTCTAGCAGTTGAGCCCTCGAGTCCGTCTGCCCCCAGGGACGGAAGCTTTTGCAGGAGCTGTGTTGTTAAAACGAGCCTGCGAACGTGTCTGGCGAGGAAGCCTCGAGTAACCAGGCTTGGCAAGCATTCCAAGGGACCAGCTTTTGGGGCTGGCTGGGACAGGCCCGAGGGCTGGGAATGGGCTGAGCCCCCAGGTCTCAGACGGTGGTCTCCCCCTGTTTGCTGTTGGTGAGCCTGGTGTAGAACTTCCTCCAGGAGTTGAGGGTCTTGCCGGACCAGATCCAGAAGCCTGACGTGATGCCCACGATCAGCGTCATAAGGTACTTGATCATGAAGACTGTGAAGTCAGGGCTCATGGGCGGGTGCGGCGGGGCGCCTCCGCCTGCCTGGAGATGCGGGCAGGGGATGGCGTAGCTCTTGCAGCTCTGGGCCACCCAGCTGCGCTCCCACTGGTCCCGGAAGGCCTGCTCGTAGAAGTAGCAGGCGATGACGATAGTGGCTGGCACCGTGTAAAGCACGCTGAAGACGCCGATGCGCACCATGAGCTTCTCCAGCTTCTCGGTCTTGGTGCCATCGTGCTTCATGATGGTGCGAATGCGGAAGAGCGACACGAAGCCGGCCAGCAGGAAAGACGTGCCGATGAACAGGTACACGAAGAGCGGCGCCAGCACGAAGCCACGCAGCGCGTCCACGTTGTTGAGCCCCACGAAGCACACCCCACTCAGCACGTCTCCGTCCACCTGGCCCAGCGCCAGGATGGTGATGGTCTTGATGGCCGGCACGGCCCAGGCGGCCAGGTGAAAATACTGCGAGTTAGCCTCGATGGCTTCGTGGCCCCACTTCATGCCGGCTGCCAGGAACCAGGTGAGCGACAGGATCACCCACCAGATGGAGCTGGCCATGCTGAAGAAGTAGAGCATCATGAAGAGGATGGTGCAGCCCTCCTTCTTGGTGCCCTGTGCCACTGTGCGCGCCCCATCCTCGGCGAACTTGTCGTTACACACCACGCGGTCCTCCAGCAGGAAGCCGGCGATGTAGGCCACGGCCACTGCCGTGTAGCAGCCTGACAAGAAGATGATGGGCCGCTCCGGGTAGCTGAAGCGCCGCATATCCACCAAGTACGTGAGCACCGTGAAGAGCGTGGAGGCGCAGCACAGCACTGACCAGATGCCGATCCAGGTGCGCGAGAAGCGTAGCTCCTCGGGTCCAAAGTACATGAGCCCGTACACCTTGGTCGGCTCACAGGGAGCGCCGCAGTCCTTCTCCCCCAGAAAGTGGTAGTTGAGGTAGGAGGGCACCTTGAGGGCGCGCGGGCACGAGAACTTGCCTCGCTCCGACGCGCCGGCGCCTCCCGGGAAGCCGCCGCCGCGGTGCCCCCCGCCGCCGTGCTGGGGGTTGCTGGTCCAGAACTCCGGCAGCAGCGAGGGCGTCGGGGTGCCCTTGTCCGACGTGTTCTGGCCCACACACAGCTCGCCGGCGCCGTGCACCGGGAACTTCTCGCACTTGAGCGTGTCAGGCCACTGGAAGCCGAACTTGTTCATGAGCGCCTCGCAGCCCTGGCGCGCGCGCTCGCATAGGGAGCGGCAGGGCGGCAGAGCCTGCTCCAGCACGGTGCACACGGGCGCGTACATGGAGCACAGGAAGAACTTGAGCTCGGCCGAGCACTGCACCTTCACCAGCGGGTAGAACTGGTGCACCTCAAGGCCCGCATCCTCCTGGTTCGTGTGGCCCAGCAGGTTGGGCATGATGGTCTGGTTGTACGCGATGTCCGTGCACAGCGGGATGGAGATGGGCTGGCAGTAGCCGTGGTCCGGGATGGAGATGCCCCGCTCGCCGTTGTACTGCTGCCCGCTCTGCTGCTGCTGAGGCGGCGGCGGTGGGGGCTGCTGCCCCGGCCCGGGCCCCTGGCCCGCCGCCTGCGCCCGGACCCCCAGCAGCAGCGGAGCCTCCAGAAGCCAAAGCAGCAGCAGCAGCCGGCGCGCCAAGCGCCAAGAGTCAGCCGGGGGGCGGCGGCGGCTGCCCGCGTCCCGGATCCCCTCCGCCACCGGCCCGGCCCGGAGCGCCCCGGCACAAAGTTCCCAGCTCGCGCCGCCGCCGGCGGCCCGGGACTTCTTAAGCGCCTCCTCCTCAGCCATACTTTCTCGGCTCTTTTCTTGGCGCCGCTGGGCTGGGGCTGGCGGTGGCGCGGCCGGCGGCGGCTCCTCCTGCGGCCGGGGAAATCTCCTCTGCGCCGGTGCCCTCCGTCGAGCCCGAGCCGCGCTCGGCCCGCTGCTCCGGCTCCCGCTCCGCGTCCCGCAGCCGCCGCCGCCGCGGAAACTTGCGATTCATGAAGCGCGGGCGGCGGGGAGAGCCCCGGTGGCTCGGGCGCTCCGGGGTCGCGTCCCGCCTTCTTGGCCCTCGGCTCGGTGGCTCCCGGCTGGCGACGCCGCGCTAGTGGCCGCGGCCCCGAAGAGCGCGCAACTGTCCGCAGCCCAGCGGCCTCGGCTCCCCCCTGCGCCTCCACCTCCTTCTCCGCCGCCGCCGCCTGACCATTTGTGTCAATCCCTCAACTCGCTAGCTCTCCTCTCCCTCGCGCGCCCTCGGACCGGTTTCCAGGCGCCCCGCAGTCTGTCTTTCACCAGGAGGGAGGAGCCTTGAAACCGACGCGGAACTGGAGGCTCAGGGACCGTCGCCCAATCGCGGCACTGGCTTCCCGGCGCAAAGGGAGCCAGCCGCCTTCTTCCCCCAAAGAAAGTCGGCGGCGGGCGGGAGGAGGAGGAGGCGGGAGGTGGAGGAAGTAGTAGTGGTGGTAGAGGCACCGCTCGGGCACAAAGAGTGGGTTTGCTATGAAGCGGGACAGGCTTGATTGCTTTTGCTTTTGCTGAAGGAAGGGCGAGGACAAGTAGGAGAATGGTCCCATATGCTGCTGGAGATAATGAATAGGAGTCGGCAGACCGCGGGACTTAGCTTTTCTTTTCTTTTATCCATTTTCATGTTTAAAAATCCTACTCTTAACGCCGGTTACAAACAGCAAAGCGAGCGCTGCGATCAGAACAGATGCCTTTGACTTAAGGAGCGCACGGCTTCCTTTGAGTTTATGTCTGTCTAAGTTTTGTTTAAAATATTACTCTAATAAATCCTAGAGCTCTCGGCTGGGCTTGGCGGGCTTTGGACGCGCCATTTCCCTCAAGGAGAAGTTCACGGGATCGCTGTCAAATGAAGAAAAACAACAACAAAGCACAAACACAAACTTTGATGGAATTTAAAAAGTAAAGCCAGATGTGCCGTCTGCTACTATTATCCTTCTTGTAGTCAAACTCCTTTTTCTCCTCTTTAATCAAATCGGAAACAGAAGCAAAGGGAAACTATCCATTAAATATTTAGAGAGAAAAACTTGAGAACCCCACGACCTCTCTTCGGGAGAGTGCTCGCTGCCCGAGACCCTGCTTGAGGGCAGCCTGGGCCCTTCCAAAGCCCGGGGCCACCCACGGCTCTGGGGAACTTCTGAATGTCTGACCTGGGCAGGTTATGCGTCACAAGCTGGGCTGCAGCGCGATCTTCCACCCATAGACAGAGAGGGGATGCTAGTTTAAAAAACAAACAAAACAACGAAGTCTGAACGCAAAAAGCAAACTGCATATTCCCTTCCTAATTCCTAAACCACACAACCCATCTCAGCAGCCTTACATTCTCATTGTTGTCGTTTTCTGTGTAAGATGTTTTAGAATAATGGTTTAACTAGTGAGTCAGTTTTATCAATAAACTGCCATTGTATTATTAATTCTATCTATGACTAGACTCTCTCCCAGGATACCTTTTTTTTTTACACTGTAAATATCTTACAATTTTATCAATTATACCTCAATAAAGCTAGAAAAAATGAGGATAATAATGTAATATAATTTAAAAGTCTGTCAATTCCTACTTAGCCTAGTGTCTTCTAAATAATGTTTTAACTGTATTACAGTATTTGTCCAATCTTGGGATACTTTCCTACAATTATTTTCGATCTTTTGTTTTCCTTTCATTTGTTTAATAAATACTTACCAAACACCTAATATGCTGTAAGCACTGTTAAGTAGTAGAATACAAAGATGAACAAGACATGGCCCAGCCTTACAGGAGGGCATAGTACAGTGGGACACAGAAATGTAGATCAGTTAGCATAACAACCATCTCAAAGCTGAAGGAGCACAGGAGAAGCAACCAGACAGGGTGGGGAGGGTTCTGATGGAGAAGTGGATGGAAGGTGCAAAAGCGAGGAGCTCTGAAGTACTTAAGTTGCTGAAGGGGATGGGAGTGAGTGTGGCTAAGATATTACGGGGAAGGCAGGAGAAACTTTTAGTCCAAGCTAAAAAGTTTAGGCCGAATTATATAGACAATAGGGAGCTATTGAGGGTCACTCTTTCCCACAAAAGCAGAAGGTGGCTTCAGGATGCCTCTGAAAGAGGGAACCCGGGGTGCACTGTCACTGGGAAGTTTAAATATTAGTCTAGACATGAATGTCACTATTTAAGATGTGTGTTACTTGTATTACATACTAAGAAGGCACTGAATTCCATCACAGTGCATGTTGGTGTCTCTAAAGAATGTGCAGTCATATCTTTACCTGTTAAAATGAAATGGTATCTGTGTGTCTCAGATACATATATTATCGTTTTTCAAATACTCATGGCTCTATATCCATAAATTCATAAAATGCATAAAATATATATTGTTTTTAAGTATTTCTGGATCCCTAGTATTCCTAGGAAAAGAAAAAGCTACAGGTACTAAATGTACAACAGGTATCATACGTGAACGTGAGTGTGCCAGTGTGTGTATGTTTGTGTTGGCAGTCATTTATGAAAGATGTTGATATTGAAAAGGAGGTTGGGAAGCACAAGTGCTCTCTGAGGTTCCTTGAGCACTCATAGTCCATAACTCTTCATTTTACCCTCCAGCATCCTGGCCACAGTCTCCCGGGGACACTTATTCTCTAGCCTTCCACCCTGATGCTCATTCCTCTGCTGAGAGTATCCCAGGCTTAGAAACTTGACCAAGCCCGTCTTCCTTCTACCACTCCTCTCTTGTAAAGACTTATCTGTCCTGTGTTGCATTCTCTCAAGGTTGTTCTAGATGACTGGGCAGGGTGAAAAGTGAATTTATTCTAATGTATTAATTACCAAGAAGCATCACATGCGTTAAGCATCCAGCACACCATCACCCAAACCCTTCCCCTTCTAGGGTAGGTCACACAGAATATGGCACAGGGCTCAACTCTGTTCCTCAGAGTAGGTGACACTTTCCCGCATCAAGAGTTATCCTATTGAAATGCTTGAGCTTGTTTTATCTTCTACTCTACAGGGAAATTTACCAGGGAGGAGTCTCTGAAGTACAGTCGGAGTTTAAAAAAAAAAAAGTCATTCTTACCGGATCATGGAACTAAAAGGAACCAAATCCATCATCTAGGAACTAGTTAATTTTCTCCAGTTTACAGTTAAGAATACTAGGCCCAGAAATGTTAAGGGATGCACTGCAGGTGAAATGGCTTTGGCTTGAATTTCATTAGATGCCTATTTTAACCCTTTCTATGTTCTTTCGAATAGCTATCATTCTTTTTAGTTGTTTTTTAAAAAAATCAGTTTTCTGTAGAGGTTCTCCCCCAATGGATTGTGTAAAAAAGACCTTGTAAAGTAAAAAATTAAAAAAATCATTTCCTGAGAGTTTTCTTTCAAAGTTAAAAAAAAAAAAAAACCTAGATTTTCTATTTATTTTTTAAACCAATACAGTATTCTATTGATTAAATCAATGTGATACAGAGGAAGCTGTTAAAATCAGAAACAGTTCAGAGTTGTAACCAAGAACAATTAGTGTTAGAGAAGTCTTTTGGGGAGGTGATGATGACAGCAGGTAATAAAATATCAGGAGAGAAATATGAGCAGCATATTTTTACTTTAGTCTGAAAAATATTATTTTCTCAGGATGTGGAAAAGTTTGAGATCCACAGATAAAAATTACTAAAAAGTATGAACTATTATGAACTTCATAATACAAATATTTCAGTTAGGTCAAAACTACAAACATACCAAATTCCTCCTTAATACTAGTTCTTCAAGCATCAGACTCAGTCAAGTTTTCCTATATCAAAGATCTTGTTTTATCAGGCCTTTCCCAAATCGTCTGAAGTTCCTCCAGACTGCTTATGTCAGGCTGAATGTGGATAATTACCAGGGCTAGAGATCCAGTTTCAATTACATACAGTTGAGTGCCCACCGACATGATAGCAGTTAGGTCAATGCTCCAAGTGCAACCTGGCAGACCTTGAGCTTCTAGGTGAGTTGTTTTTTTGCTGGCTTGTGAGTAGCAGGCTTGAATTGTCTTTGTTGAGTACCGGAGATTATAATACAGGTTAAGACTATATTTTCGACCACCTTCCATATGTATTTGGTATTTTTCTTAATGTATACCACGTGTACATCATGTGTCACTTAAACTTTACAACCCTTTTAGGTAGGTACTAATTATTATCTCCTTTTAATATACAAAGAATCTAAGGCTCAAAGCAGTTATTTGTGCAAGGTCCCATGGCCAGCGAGTGCCAGAGGAGGCCTTGTGTCTGACCAAGTCCATGGACTTTTATTGAGTAACACCGCGTGAACATGTCCACTCCTAAAAATTGTAGATGTGGTTTCTGGGTGTAGACCATGATGATTCCTCAGTATTTAACATAGTTTTCTATGCCAGATACAGGTGGTAGGGGTATCAATGCTGGGACCTACTGATGAGTTAGATCAGCATTTTCCAAATTGTGTTCTGTGAAATACAGTATCTTCCCCAAAGGGATTCTGTGAAATAAATTTGTTCAAATAAGTTTGATAAAAGGCCACACTCTATGTCCTTGCTGGAGATTAATGTTAGCCTAATAAAACCTCTGAGGAGTCCTGAGGTAAAGAACCCTTTTTAAACTTTGTCTTACCTAGCATTTCCCACATTTGGAACATACATATATACATACACACTTGGAATACACACACACACATATTGTATAAATATTTTGCTTGACACTCTATGTATAATACAGTTTGAAAAATACTGGATTAGACCTAATATATTTTGAAACTAAACTTTATAGGGTTGGAGTATCACCCCTGTATCACTTTGGTATGGTTAGGCAGCTGATGACAGAGAAAGCTCAGACTATGCTATTTCTTCCTTCCTCGGAGGTATCACCTAGGAGTCTATTATATTGTCTATGAAGAGACACTTTAAGTGTAACTCTGCGTAAGATTTCACCATAGATCTCCACCTCATTTCTTCTTGAATTTCCAACCTAGAATTAGCAAAAGCTAATTCTTATCTTCCAAAACATCTGTAGTCTTTTGCAGCAATTCTGAAACTAAATGTCTTTTCTCTCTTCATATTTTTCTTCATTCTTACACAAACCTGTGCTTGACATTGGTGAGATGGTTCTTGGATTCATTTACACACAGAACCTCAATTTATAGACTCTCTTTGAAAGGTCCGTCTTTTAAAAAAAATATTGCTTTTCCTGAAACCACTTATCAAAAGAGATTGTCGATTTGATTATTTTGACTTTTATCTTACAGGGCATTTACAGCTGATTCATATTAAGATCCTAAACTAACTTATCTTTTGAGAGTCAGCCATAATTTGTTACAATTTACATTTTAAACATGGTAAGACTCAAAGATTTAATGTATATGGATGTGTTCAATGGGTCTAAAAATGAATCATGGATTA